ACATGTGCAGGAATTTGTTGAATTGAAATTACGTTTAGCGCGGGATAGATTTGATTGCTAAAAGAATAGAAGCAAAGAATGGGGATGACAAAATATTATTGAGAAGCACATTGGGCCAGAAAGAAACGACACATACCAAAAAAGATAGATTATTCAGATAAAGAAAACAAAATTTAATTTCACATTTTCCGCACTTTTATTTATCCGCTTTTTCTGTTGTATCCCCCACCCCCCGCGTATAGAATGTCATAATTGATTTTATGAAACGCCCATTTTAGCGCCTCATAAAAGGCGAGAGAGAATAGGCCAAATCAACTTATTCATTCACTCATAAAAGTTTTGGGCCCGATCAAAAGTTGGCCTGTCCTCTCGCCTTTTATTTATTAATTATATTTGTTGAATAAAAAGGTTAAAAAGAAGGCCCTCGTTTTTAATAGGTGGATCGGCGCGCCCCAAGGGTGGGTTACCACTCTTGGGGCCCAACGCCGACTAGCTCCTGTAAAAAGGGGTTAGGGAAATATAAGACATCAAGCTCCCGTATTCGATAAATTTTAAAGAAGTTATAGTTTGACGGTACATTATAGTGATGTTAGGGAAAAGAAAAAACCCGGGAAACGGGAGCCCTAATTAATGTCAGAAATTTACATAAAATTTCGAAATCTAAACGAGACTAAACTTTTGCAATTCTCTTACTTGTCGGTATGGTCGGGCCCGATTAACTCTACTTTTATATCGCTGATTTTTGTTCTGTTTTTTTGTTCTGTGCTCAAAAATACTAAGCTAGTTCCACTCTAGCTTTAGCCAGAGTCATAAAACTCCCTTTTAGGGCTCACAATAAGGTGCATGTTTAATAGAGGTATTGTTAAACCACTCAGTCACTTGCAACTCAAATTCTAGAATGATGTATTCTTCAACCTAGGTTGGATACTGTACGTCTTAAATAGACAAAATTTAAAGGGGGTTCCGATCGCTAACCCCCCTGTCCCAAAAATTTACCTAAACTTCTAGATATTTATATTATTAGGACTGGCAAACCAAACGATATAAATAATTAAAAAATTGTATTTTTGCATATTAAGTAGAAATCGCAAATATTTTTTAATTAAAAATATTTTATCTTTAATTTATACATATTATGTAGAATTTTTTTCTTATTTAAAGTTTTGCACGAGGATACATTTAAAGATCGAGAGAAATTTTTTAAATTTTTTATCAGGCCATAAATAGAGGTTAACCTAATTAGTGTTTAATAATAAACAACAAAATCCAGTTTCTATTTAATTTTTTCTCCTAACTTCATTATTTCTCCTAAATTTCTCCTTTTATTTTCTCCTTCAATTTTCCCTACAATAAAAAAATTAATTAATTAATAGATCGTTTATATTAAAAATTTAGATCTCTGTTCAATCTCCGAACAAATAAAAAATCACCTCCACCTTCCTATGTTAGCATATCCACCTATTTATTCCTTTTTAGTCTTATTCTGCTTCTTTTAAATTAATTTATTTAATTTTTTAACTCACTTTTATTTTTTCTTTTAATTTTTTAAACTTTTTTAGGTAGAATTTTATTGGGTATAGGTATGCTTTTAAATTTTATAACTCCCGAGCCGTCAGGCCTTTTTTTGTGATTTTGGTATCATTCAATAGAGGAGATCATTTTCTATTAGAAAATATTTAAAAAACTTTTTTGGCTAAAAATCAGAATATTTATTTTATTTTAAATAAGCGACACCCTCCCATAGAGGATTCAATGTAGACGCACTCCAGCTCCTATAACCCTAGATTAACTAGACCTATATTCGATATCTCGATGTCATTGGATTAAGGATAAAGTGAACTATCTAAAAAATATAAGGAAAAATTTTTTTGAAAGTTTAGGAAGAAATTATTGTCGTAAAATTGCCAAAAATCGTTCAAAATTACTAAAAAATTGTCCAAAAATTGTCAAAAAATTATTTTTTTCTCTTAATAAAATTTTTTTTCTTTGATCCTCAATCTTTAAAAATTTTTTTAAAATATTTTAAAATTTTTAAAGAATTTTTAAAAAATTTTCCATATTTCCCCTCCATATATTTTGACCAAAACACCTCAAGTAGTTCACCATTTAACTCGTTATTAAAGCCTTGCGCCCACTTTCACCCACGCAAGGCCCCACTATCCTTTTCCCTATTTTATTTGTTTTCATTGTCATTTTTATTTATTGTCAATATATTAGCAAAAAAAAATAAAAAATTGTATGAGCTGCGCGAATTACGGGTAAAATAAAATAAAAAATATGCGGCCTCTGCAAAAGTAAATAGTCAAAAAAAAATAAAAATTTGGGGCAATCTAAGTAATTTTTTTATTAAAAATAATAATTTTTTCCCGTTCACTTTACTGCTAAAAATACACGATATTTTGTTTTAACAATAAAATTGTTACCCCAAAAAATTTTTTTAATTTTTTAAAATAATGAAACGTTGATTCAACTAAAATTAGTAGGCGTAATAAAAATTTTATTTTTATTTTTAAAGTTTGTTTAGTTGTTGTAAAACATTTTCGATAATATTAATAAAAATTGTTTTATTAGCAACTATTTCTGAATTTTTCGTTATTTTATTTTTTAAATTAGCTATAAGGATCGATGGGGGAAATAACATATACGCTTAAAATCATGAGAATAAATATTATTTAATTCTGATTTTATATTAAAAATAATTCTGATTTTTTACGTGTATTTTATAAATTCTGATGTTGTGTTTTCTCTTAAATTCTGGTTTTTCAGGTTAAATTCTGATTTTGTGTTTTCTCTTAAATTCTGCCTTTTTCAGAATAAATTCTGATTTTGAGGTCTGTTTTTTGTATTTTTGTACATGTATTTCCTTTTAATTCTGATTCTGTGTTTTCTTTTAATTCTGACTTTGTGTTTTCTCTTAAATTCTGATTTTTCCTGTTTTTTTTAAATTCTGAATTTGTGTTATCTCGCAAATTCTGATTTTGTGTTTTCTTTTAATTCTGACTTTGTATTTTTTGAAATTCTGATTTTGTATTTTCTCGTAAATTCTGATAGTGTGTTTTCTCTTAAATTCTGATTTTTGTGTTTTCTTTTAATTCTGATTTTTCCGGTTTTATTTTTAATGTTCATATTAATTTCTGATTTTTTATTTATTTAAACTTATTCTGATTTACATACTTAAGTGCACAAACCTTAAAAACAAACTTAAATATTAATTCTGACGCCAATTTTATTTAAATTCTGATTTTCAAGTTTATTTATTTAAATCCGCCTATTCCCCTGTTTGGCGTTCCAAAACTTTTTTGCGCACATTACAAGTTCCACTCTCCCTCACCCTTATACCTTGCATTATTAAACTCTCCGTTCGTTTAAAATAAAAAAATCGAATAAAATAAATCATAATCCAACTCAAAAGGTTGGAAATAGAAATATTACTATTAAAATAAATTTTTGGACCCTTTTTTCCCTCTAAATTTAATTAATTATTTAATATTTGTTGGAACTTTACCAAAAAGATGAGCGTATTTAATAGTTTAAAATTAATTTTTGGGGTAAAATGAAAGTTAAATTCACGTGAAATTTTTTAGTTGATTAATTAAGGTTTATTTTAAATAAATATTTATATTTATGGTAAAAAGTGGTAGTTCCGTACATTAATTTTTTTTGATAAATATATACTTGAATGTGATCTTAAAAATGTGTCAGTTCTAGTAATTTAAACTTTGATTTAATTTTTAATCACATTTTTGGAATAGAAAAATTTATTTTAAAATTTAAAAATCATTTCCTTAATTTAAAAAATTTTTTTGTTCCTTAATTTTTTTTATTTAATGTTTTCTTGATTTCTTTATAATCTTACTGCCCTTCAATATTACTTTAATAAGAGATTAGCAAAAGTTTAGCTCGAGCCTGAAGACCAGAGCCCGTAGACTAACTTAGAAGGTAAATCCTATCTGAATAACATTGTTAAATAAACCCCAGCTCGAGGGCCTGTAGACTAACTTAGAAGGTTAATCCCGATCCGTATAACATTGTTAAATAACACTCGCTTCGAATTTACTCTACGGGCCTTGAACTGCTTGTTAAGATTTCATTTACACGTTTGCTCTACCACTGAGCTACTGGGGCGACTTTATTTTTGATTTGTTCTTTCTCCTTAATAGATCACTTAACACCCTCTAGGCTTTCGTTTACACGTTTGCTATACCACTGAGCTACCGGGGCAACTTTTAATTTGTCCTTTCTCCTTAAAAATCACTTAACCCCCCTCTAAGCGCTTTTAAATTCCACCAGATTAATCACCCTAAAACTTTTTAGGCATTCTAAATTTTTTAAACAAAGCATAATACACATTTCAACATATTTTTATTAATATTATCATAATATATTTTTAAATTTAATTATCTTATCAACCAATGTTAAACCCTGTTTCATTAACCAGTGAAAAAGGTAGTAAATAAATTAAAATAAAAATAAGATTTAAATAAAATTTTGTCTAATTTTATTCAAAATATTTAAAAAGGCAATAATTCTGACGAGAAATGTAGTTCCATTAGTGACAGTGAAAACGGAGGATTTGAAAAGGAGGAGCATACAATGGCTAGGAGTTGGAGTGAAATGATGAGGGTACTTTAATTAATTTTAATTAAAATTTGGTAAAGACGGGAATGGACGGAATCCAAAGCCACACAAATTCTTGAAGTGTCTGGTCTTCTTAAACTTCACGGTAAAGCAACCGGACCTGTCTCAGAAATATTTACCTGTCTCAGAATATTTAGTAGCCAAAATTGGGTGAAAGATCCTTAGAACGCTCCTAAAAGACCTCTTAAACAATCCAGCCTCAAATCAGTTCCCAATTCGGGAATCGGAACAGGATCCAGTCAAGATCCACCCATCTAAATTCAGGTTTCAATTTTTCTTTCACACCTAGTCTAGGGGGGCAATCCTCTCGAGTTTTTCAATACCTAATTATCTTTTTCTCATTAATCTCTCCAAAATAACCCATGAATTTAAAGATATGGCCCTACCATACATTTCTTATTGTAATTATGGAATTCTCAATGATGTTGACAGCTTTAAACAGTAAAAATTTTTTCCTCAAAAATTTTTTTTTAAAAATTCCAAAATATTTAAAGATGTATTCAATTTGTATTATATTAATGTGTTGGGCTTTCATCCCGATACGACCGTTGTAATTCTCAATTTTACCGGAATTTTGTCTGGGTGTTGTAGACTGATTGGTTCAGCAATTTCTGATGGTTATTTGGGGAAATTTAGAGCAATATTTTTTGGTGCTAGTATTTTTGTTATTGGAAAGATTGCTTTGACAAGTATTAAAAAAATTTAAAAAAAATTTCCTAATTTTCTCTATTAAGCCTCCTCATTTTTCCCGCCCGGTTTCCCCCACCCTTGGCTTGATTTTGCTTGTGTTTTAATTGTTATTATTGGCACGAGTGCAATGAGTCCAAGCATTGCACCTTTTGCGGGTGACCAATTTGATCCTCATCAAGAAAGAATGGTAACCAGAACAAATTAGAAAAATCAGAATTAAAAATCAGAATAAATCAGAAAAAATCAGAACTAAGAATCAGAACAAACTAGAAAAATCAGAATTAAAAATCAGAATAAATCAGAACTAAGAATCAAAAATTATAAAAATCAGAACACTATCAGAATTTCATAATTAAAATCAGAATATTATCAGAAATATTCAGAACACCCAAAAAAATAAAAATTAAAATCAGAATATGATCAGAATATTAACAGAATAATATCAGAAATTAGAAACTAAAAAATCAGAAATTGGAAAAAATCATAATTAAAAAAAAATAATATCAGAAAAATTAAAATTTAAAAATCTGAATTTGCAAAAATAAATCATAAATTATCTTTCTCTAATTTACTAATTAATTAAGATCTCAGTGTTTTACTCAATTTTTTATGCTGCGATAAATATAGGGTAAACCATAAATAATTAATTTAATTATTTGTGTAATATTTTTAGTGCTGTGATATCTACAATTGTAATGCCTTTGCTCAGAGCAAGACCTTGTTTTGGAAGAGATTCATGTGATTAATTTAATTTCAGAATTAAATATAAAACATAAATTAAAAATCAGAAATAAAACTTGGAATATAAAAGAAATAAAAATCAGAATTAATAAATTAAAAAATCAGAAATAAAAATAAACTTGAAATCAGAACAAAAATACAAATAACAAATAAAATACAAAATCAGAATTAATAGAAAAAATAAATAAACTTAAAATCAGAATTAAAATCAGAATTAAATACAAATCAGAATTAATAATAAAATCAGAACAAAAATACAACTTGCAAATATTAATAAACTTGAAATCAGAATTAAAATCAGAATTATAGTAATAGTAAAAATAAACTTTAATTAAATCAGAATTAAAAACAAACTTGAAATAAAACTTGAAATCAGAACAAAACACAAATAAAAAAGAAAATACAAAATCAGAATTAAAAATAAACTTGAAATCAGAATTGAAAAATAAACTTGAATTAAATCAGAATTAAAATTATTTATTCAGGTTACCCTTTTTCATTCAGCGTCTCAACTATTGGTGTTATTATTTCTTTTGGTTTGTAATTTTTTTATTTTTTAAAAATTTCCTAAAAATTTTCTGGAAATTTTCTCGAAATTTTAAAATTCATTTTATCCTTAAAACTAAATTAAAAAAATATTTTTTCAGCATTTTTCTTCATTGGCAGTAAATGGTACACCAAACAGCCTCCTAAAGGAAACATTTTTGGGGCCGTTTATGATGTTGTTAAGGTGGAAATTTTAAAATTAAAAATATTAGAATTAATTTTTAATATTTTTAAAATTATTTTACCCAATAATTTAAATAAATAAAAATTATTTTTCGCTTCAATAGACTGCCCGCTCCAACAAAAAATATGCCAAAATTCCCAAAAATCACTGGCTTGATCACTATTTTGATACCCACATTTGTGAGGAGGATAGTAAATGTATTGAATTAAAGAAGGAAAAGGGAGATGAGAATGTTTGTCACAAACAACAATTTATTGAAGATTTTCATTGTTTGTTAAGACTTGTAGTTGTTTTAATACCCATGCCTATGTTTTGGGCTTTGTATGATCAGCAATACAATGTTTGGATGAATCAGGCACTTCAGTTAGATAGTCGGATATGGGGTGGCATTCATCTTTTGCCTGACCAGATGCAAGTCGTTAATCCGGTAAATTTTTGGGGAAATTCTAAATTATTGGTCTAGTAGTGTGTACGGAGACCGAGTTGGCTCCAACCGCTCTAACTCTGTGGAAAATTGACCTTTTTACTAAATTTTGGTGTCATTCGATAGAGAATTAAATTCTCTACAAAAAAAGGCTACAATTAAAATTTATGATTCATTATTCGAAAAGTTAAGGTCAAAAAACTAACCCTTTTTGGCTTGAAAATGCCTATTTAATGACAGTTTTTTGACCTCAACTTTTTTGTTTTCTCTCTAAAAATTTTATTTCTAACTAAGCATGTTTCATAAAAAATTTTTTCCTCTATTAAATGACACCAAAAGCTCTTTTATCCGTTTACCCGTTCAAAAGTTAGACGTGTCCCTTTCTACGAGGTTATTTACATATCTGCCCCCTCCAGTAAAATTAAGCCTTTTAAAATTTAAAAAATAATTATTTTTTAAATTAAATAGGTGCTTATTATTGTGCTCATTTTTATTTTTCAATCATTCATCTACCCCTTTGCTGAAAAAATTGTAAGATTAACTCCACTACGGAAGATGGTAGCTGGTGGATTTATTGCAGCAATAGCCTTTTTTGTCTCGGGAATTGTACAGCTACGAATAAATGTAAAAAAAATTTTGATTTGAATTTTTATTTAAATAATAAAAAATTTTTTATATGTATGAATACTAGAAAAATTAATTTTAAACGAACGAAGAGTAAAAAAATAAAAGTAGCTCAGTAAACATAATGGTTTAACTAGTCGTTTAAAGAGCTCCTTATGAAAAACTTGATTTTTGTTGTAAATTTTTATGAAAAATATTTTTGAAAATTTTCGAAAAATTTTCTAAGATTTTTATGAAAAATATTTTTGAATAATTTTTCGAAAAATTTTATAAAAAATATTTTATAAAAAATTTTTTATTTAAAAAAAACATAAAAAGTAGCTCTTTAAACGCATGCTGGCTTCGACTAGTTTACAGAGCTGCTTTAAGAAATTCCTCATTTTACCATTAGAAATCCTTCAATTTGCAGTTATCTCTACCCGAGTTTGCTGATGACGGCCAAGCATTTGTTTCCATTGTAAATACTTTTGCTAAATGCCCTCTGGAAATAACTCATTTGGAGACAGGCGAGACGAGGCTTTTGTTACCAAATACGGTAGAAATAATTTCTTCGACTTTCCTACTATTTTAACTCATTTTAGTCTCTAATAAACGACAAAACACAAAATCGCATCGAAATGTTCCGTGTATTTCTTGGCCAAAATAAATGGAAGATTGACGGCGTTGGAGACAATTGTGCTGATTTAAATATAAAATTGCCTCAAGTTTATGAATTTGATATTAAAGAGCCTATGAGCTTTATTGCGATAACTACACGAGGAGCGATTTTGGCTTCGGCCGAAACTGAGAAGCCTACAGGCGGTTCTGGTCAATTTAAAATTGCCGTGATTATGGCGATGGAGGATGAGAAGGATGGGCATAATAACAAACTATTGGCATTTTGTCGTAATGATCAAAAGTGTAATCAACATGATGGAAAGGTACATAGAAAATGTTACTTTCACACTACCCAGGTGTGAAGAGAACACAGATATACCATGGAATGTTCCCTTCACACTACTCAAGGTGTGGAAGGAACCCACACACAATGTTCCCTTCACACTACCCTATGGTGTGGAGGGAACATGAGTACCATTTTTGATGTTCCTTTCACACTACCCATTGTGTTGAGGGGAGCATTCTATATAGAAAAAATAATTTTCAAAAAAATTTTCAGAACTTCTATGCCTTCCTAAACAAGAAGAGAGAACACTCCCTCCAATTTATTAATTATATGACAACAAATACAACATCGACATCTTCAGATTTGACTGCGTCCCTTCACCCTTATATTGAAGTTAGGCCGGGGAGGTTAGCAGAAGGAAAAAAATTTTTTTTTTAAATCTTTACCTAGTTTAGTTGGAAACTTTTCCTTCTACACAACGAACCAACCAAACTTATGGAAGAAAAATTAAATGAGGAACAATTAAAGGATGTTGAATTCGAGGTGAGTGTTGATATTTATACACTACATATAGGGTGGGAGGAATAAGGGAGGTGTTCCCTCACACTACTATAGGGTGTGAGGAACAAGGGAGATGTTCCCTTCACACTACCTATAGGGTGGGAGGAACAAGGGAGATGTTCCTTTCACACTACCCATAGGGCGGGAGGATCCCTTATATCTAATAATTTTTTAACGTGGGAGATGTTCCCTTCACTTTATCTTTGGGGTGAGAGGAACGTCCCTTAAAGACTAACAATTTAACTTCATTTTTAATTAAAAAGATGGACGCACAAGGCGGAATCTATGCCCTCATAATTACCGGAACTAAAAAAGACCCACACGCAACAATTCATCAAATTGTCCCTCCAAACTCTGTCAGCATTCTTTGGCAGTTACCCCAAATTTTTGTTATTTCTGTCGCTGAAATATTAGTTTCGATAACTGGATTAGAGTTTGTGTACTCACAGGTAGACTTTAAAATTTTTTATTAAACTAATTTTTAATTTTTAGTCTGGCCCTTCTATGAAGGCAATAGCTAGTGCCTGTTGGAGTTTAACCTCATCACTTGGCAGCATAATTATTATGTAAGGATATTAGACATTTCGGCACTTAATAGAAAATTGTCCATTTCGTCACTAGACAGAAAATGACCATTTTGCTAATTAACTGAAAAATAGCCACTTCGCCAATATGCGGATAAATTGCCATTTCGCCAGCAAACGGAGAAATGGCCATTTTGTCCCTGGGCAGAAAAAGGCCATTTTGTCATAGACATTTTGCCACTAGGCAGAAAAATAGTCATTTTGTCACTGCGCAGAAAAAGGCCATTTTGTCACTAGGCCAAAAAATGGCCATTTTGTCACTAGGCAAAAAATGACCATTTCGCCACTAGGCAGAGAAATGGACATTTTGCCACTTTAACACAAATTAATCATTAGATCATAAAATCACAATTATTTTCTCATACTATATCTCAATTCTCTTTCAGAATTATCACACTCCTACCTACAAAGAATTTGGCTGTCAGAGCTTTTCTATTTTCCGGTAATTAATTTTGTCTTTAATTTAAAAATAATTTTTTTAATTTTTAGGTGCAATGATAATTGATGTGTTGATATTTGCTTTTCTAGCCAAGTAGACTTTAAAAATTTTATTTTAAAAATTAAAAAATATTTTCAGGTATTGCTACAAATACAGAAAAAACACAGCAGCATATAAAGAACCCTCCTCACTAAAACAAAATTCGGAAGAAGTCAAGTCGGATTAATCTTGGAATTATTTTTATTTTATTTAATGTATATATAGTGTTCTTAAAATTGTACAAAGCTTTGAAAATTATTAAAAATATTTTAGCTTTATTTTTCCTTTAATGGAGGGTTGGGGTAGTTGAGCGGTGAGACGGTCCAGTTAAAAATTCATATCTCAAGAAAGGACAGACCTTTCGAGTAACTTTTGGCAGCGTTTGATAGAGAATTAAATTAGCTATAAAATAGCCAAAAATCAGATTTTTTAAAAATTGCAAGTTGAAGTTATGATTAAAAAACTAACACCACATCAAGAAAAATGAGCACCTTTGTATGTACCGACTTGTGATTGTGTCCGATACGAACAGAATGACTTGATTAACAAACAGTGTTTAACACAATACAACAACGACAATATTTAGAATAAGCGAGACTATCCGGTGGAGTAGTCATAAGATTACGTTATAATTTACAAATTGCGTTATAATTAATTTTGCGTTATAATTTATAAAATTATAATTTATAAATTTAATAGAGTTAAAAATAAACTTAAATTTGCCTTTTAGCTTGACTGACAGAATACATACTATGTAACGACTTGTAGTTGTGTCCGATCTAAGAGCTTTGATTAACAAACAGAGTTTATCACAATACAACAGCAACAATAAAATAAACGAGACTATGTGGTGGAGCAGAATGTGTAAATTAGATGGCAGAATAAAAGAATAAGAAGTAAAATAAATAAAAATTAATAAATAAGACTAACACACGACTACTAAAAAGGCTCGCCTTTTATACTAACACTCAACCCCTTTCGATTGTTTCTTCAATATCTTTGCTTTCTACTTCAATATGAGGCCAATCTAATTTTCTATAAGTAGAGGCCACAATAAACTAACAATCTACACGTTTAAAGACCCAAAAAAGCTTAACAAATCCTCCTTAATTTAGCCCACTAATTTGCTTGTTTAAATTAATTAATAAATAAATATTTTGGCGTTGTGTTTAATTAAATTGGTAAATTTCAAAATGTCTACTTTTTCATTTTTTAAACTTTTTTTGTCTAATTTATCAATTTCTTGAGGGTTTAAATTTAATTTTAAAGGTCACTTATTCGTTCACTAATGACTTGCGTTTTGCCTTCTTGTTCTTCTACTGTTTTGGCGCTTACCAAACTTGTGCTTAAACGAATTCCTTTAAAGGTGATTTTTGACTTTATTTTTTTAATTTTATCAATTTTAGACTTCTCGGCATTTCTCTCATTCTCCATTTCTTCAAAAGGATCATAAATTGACTGAAATTTTAAATAAGAAAAATAAAAGAGGAAAACTTTTGCCTGTTGGAATTAAAAAGATTGAAAGCAAAAAGCCTGTGGCTAATGTCTTTGATGGAATTTGTTTGGAGTAGGTTTTTGGATTGTTTAAATGATTAGTTTAAAAGAATACAGGAAGATTGAATGAGTCTGAAAACCTGGGCATAACCAGTTTTGCAATTTTTGCCCAAAATGCGTGTTTTTGACTTTTTGGTGTAGTGGGATACATTTTGGATTTTTTCTGTCAGGGGTCGTTGGTTCGACTCCAACTGACCGAAACTATTCCCTATTTTTACTTTAAAGCATTTTTAGCTGAAAAAATCATAAAATTTTATCAAAAAATTTTTTTCAAAATTTAAAAACCAATTTTATTCAAAATTTCAGACGTTTTGCTGCTTCCGTTGGTAAAGATATCGACTCCCTTATTGATGTAATTACTCAAATAGCTTCGGAAAACAAAGCAGATGCTATCATTTCTAATCCTGAAGGTTTCTAAATTAATTGGCATTTTCTTCAAATTAATTTTTCTTTTAATTTCAAGCGCCTCTAGACAGCGAATTAATTCTTGATGTGATCTCCTATCTCAAAATGCGTCCTGTTTGGGTTCCTCCACCTCCTAAAGAAGAAATTATAGATGAATCTGAATTTCAACTTTGCCCACAGTTTTTTTAAATTTTATTTTTAACGTTTATTCATCATTTTAGGCCTCCACCGCCTCCTTCAGAACTTCAAAAGAGAGCTCCTATTGTGGCCATAATGGGGCATGTGGATCATGGGAAGACAACACTGCTAGATTCCCTTAGACGCTCAAACATAGTCGCTCAGGAATTTGGTGGAATTACTCAACACATTGGGGCGTTTTCTGGTATTTTTTTTAATTATTGTTAGCTTGGTGTAGTGGGTTAATCTTTAATCTCCTCCCATAAAGGGTCGATGGTTTGAATCTCGCTGACGAAAAATATTTTTATTTTGATCAGTATTTTTTCTAGTTAAACTCCCATCTATCGGAAATCTACCTGTCACCTTTCTTGATACTCCTGGACATTCTGCTTTCAAGGCAATGCGACAAAGAGGAGCCCAGGCTACTGATCTAGTTGTGCTAGTTGTAGCAGCAGATGATAGCGTGATGGAACAAACTGTGGAGGCTATAAAGTTTTTTTTAATTTTTTGAGTTAATTTGTGGGTTATTGCAAACGTGTTTTTGCGGACATATGAGGACTTATGTGGGGCAGATAGATAAGAAAACTTATAGAAATGAAAGTAATTTCAACTTTCAGTTTTTCCCCACAACCAATTATTTTTTATTGAATAGAGAGAGATTGAATATGGATGCACTGACCGTTGAGTCAGTTTAACGATTAGGATTGGGGGCCCGATCCAGCCCGGTCCGAAATATCGAGTCGAGCATTGAATTTTGGTCTTATAAAGCTTGGTCGGGCCGGCCTGAAATAACTGACGTAAACGATGACGTCTCGAAAACCACAACTCGCACAAGTATGTCCGCAAAAAAACTAATTAGGGATAACCCACGAGTGCCATTTTTTGAATTATTTTAACATTTCTCTTTATTTTTTCATTTAAAGATACGCTAGAGAAGCTGGAGTTCCTATAATTGTGGCAGTCAATAAATGTGATAAACCTACAGCCAATCCTGAACAAGTTTTGAATGATTTATTGAAACACGACATAATTCCTGAACAATTTGGTGGGGATACTCAAGTTGTGAATATATCAGCACTTACTGGACAAGGAATTGAAAACCTTTTGGTTTGTTATTTTTAAATTTTTCTTAATATGGCAATTTTCTGTTTGTTATTCCCTTTTTGGAAAAATTTCGGAAAACGAACAGAGCGCAAATGGGTCAAATCATATGTCATTCGAAAGAGCTCGTCGAGTTGAGTCGAATGGTGAAAAAATTTTCGTGCGGACTCATAGAGGGGCTGAGATATAGGCCTCCGAAAATCGAAAAACCATAGGGGGGACCAAGCACTTTTTTGGGGTGAAAAATTCGAAAATGCAAATTATTCCTCATTCGAAAGAGCTCATCGAGCTGAGTCGAATGACACCAAAATCAATCCGAAATCTTGATTCTGAGCCGAGATAGAGGCTCAAAATGGTCAACGTAAACCTATGGGGCGTAGGCGAGGCGCTTGTGCAAAACCCCGCGCTTCGCGCGGGGTTTTGCGGCACGCGCCTCGCGGGGAGTCTACGGGCGATGGGTTCTGGGCTCGTAACTTAATCCTATTCCAATTATCGCTGTAATGGGTTATCTGGCTTCCTCTGTAGCAGGAAAAACCTCGACGGATACCAAAGGTAAGGAGCTAAAACAAACGATCATAACTTTGTCAAATCAAGTCAGATTTCGTTGATTTTGGTGTCATTCGACTCAGCTCGATGAGCTCTTTCGAATGAGGTATAATTTGCATTTTCGAATTTTTCACCCCAAAAAAGTGCTTGGCCCCCCCTATGGTTTTTCGATTTTCGGAGGCCTATATCTCAGCCCCTCTATGAGTCCGCACGAAAATATTTTCGCCATTCGACTCAACTCGACGAGCCCTTTCGAATGACATATAATTTGTCCTATTTCGGATCTGTTCGTTTTCCGAAATTATACCCCCTTTTTTTCTAATATTTGGGATAAATTATCCTCAGGAAACACGTGAAAATTAAAGAAATTTTCCTTTTTTCTTATATCGGAAGATAAGTTTTGGGATACCTGAACTTTGAGATTTTTTAAAAATTCTTGCCCTTTGTTTTCTTTTACTGTGTTTTGCTTAAAAACTGCAACTTTTTTTGCCGTCTATATTTTTCTTAATTTTCCATAATTTAATTCAGAAATAAATCTTTTTTAGGAAGCTATTTTACTTCAATCAGAACTTATGCAATTATGTTCAACACCAAAAGGTTTAGTAGAAGCTACAATTGTTGAATCAACTAATTTGCCTGGTTTATTTTTTTATTTTTAAATTTAAAAAATTTTTTCCTTAAAGATCTCGGTTTAGTCTGTACAGCAATAATAAATAGAGGAACCTTAAAGAAAGGAACGATTTTGGTTGCTGGAACGTGTTATGGACAAGTTAGAACGTTATCCAATGAATTTGATAAAATTTTGGATGAAGCTGGACCGAGTACTCCTGTTCGAATTAGTGGTATGAAAATTAATTTTTGTTTAAATTAGGATTTTGTAAGGGATTTTTTAGTTGTAGGTTTTAGCTCGGTTGGAATTATATTAACTGATAGTTGTAGTTAGTATTGTGTGCTGATAGTTCCGTGACTTTATTTTGGGGTCCCTTTTTTCCGGATTTTTTTCTTTTGGGCCGGAAAACACGAATAATAAGGAAACAAACGGACGTATTAACCATAGATCCGTTGGTTAATTTTTTTGTTGATTTAAATAATTTTTAATGATCGGGTGGTCTGTCCGCAATTACATTTGCGGACTTTGACTATGGATTTTTTTCCAATATTTTTTTGTTGAAAAACTTCTTTTTTGATTTTTAACTTTTCTATTGGAAATTCCATTAGACTTTCTTATGTTGACTATTTTTTAACTAAAAAATTATAATTATTTTTTTGAGGTTGGAAAGACGAATTACCTCCACCTGGTGAATTAGCTTTTGAAGTTCCTAATTTGTCCAAAGCAAAAAAGATTGTTGAATTTAGAAGACAAAAGAAAATGGTCACAATGTTTGTTGAAGATTTGGTGAGGAAGGAATTTTTTGTTTAAATTATTTTTTATTTTTTCTATAGAAAATCATTGAAAAGCGAAGAGAAGAGGCTCGCGGAAAATATAGACAACAACGTTTTGAATTGTTTAAACAAGGAATTATTGCTAGAGCTGGGTTTGTTTATTAAATTTTATTGGATAAATTTGGATTTTTGTGATTTTATAAGGTTTTTTTGTGGTTTTTGTAAACTCCCTCGTTTCCAATGAGTGTTTTCGACATTTCCTGACGGACCTTTCGATTTTTTCTAGACCCCCTCTCGTTTCCGATAGGAGTTCCCCGTTTCCCCGACGGTTTGCGGGATGTGGTCATAAAAATTTTTTGCTCGGATTACCCAAAGTTTTAATCGTCTCAATTCGGATGCTATCAATTTTTCTTGCAATATTTTTTCCGCCTTTCGAAGGCAAGTGTGTAGAAGAAAAATTGGTCTTATCTTAAAATTGATTAGAAAAAGTTTGGGAAACTCATCTGAAACCTGAACTTTTTTTTCTTAACCCGACCCATCTCTAGTGTTTAGTGGTGATTTTTAATTATTTATCAATTTAGGAGTGATTTCAAATTTTATTTTTTAATATTTTTCCTTTCTTTTAAGTCACTCTCCTGATGCTTATACAAAACCTAATGAAGAAGAAATTGCTGCTTTAGAAATTCCTAGTCTTACAATAATTTTGAGATGTGATGTTGATGGAGCTCTTGAGGTTTTTTTTTAAATTTTTTGCTTGATAATTTTTAAGAAATTTTTTAGGCACTCAAAAATGTTTTATCAACGTATAATGCTAAAGACCAAGTTCGCCTTAAAATTGCAAGTGCTGGTGTAGGACCTTTAACTGAAAAAGATTTGGAATTGGCAGCTGATATTGGAGGTTTTTTTTAAATTAAAGGAAATTTTTTTAAGTAGAAGAGTTTCTGAATTTTTTTTAATATTTTGGGTGTAGGATTCATAGGTGTAGGATTTATTGGTCCAAAATAAAATTTTCCATCTAAAAATTTTTTGGAGGATGGCTCAAAATATTTTAGTAACTAGTATTTAATGATTGGAAAATCTGTTAGGTGTGTATCTTTCGTAAAAAATTTTTTGTTTTTGAGATACTGAAAAATTATTTTTCTTAAGATGACCAGAAATCTTCTTAAATTAATTAAATTTAATATTTCTGATTAAATTTCAAATTTATTGAAACATTTTTTAAAAATTTTTTGAAAATTTTAAATTTCAGCTTATGCCCTTTCATTTAATGCACCAATTCATCAATATATTAGAGATTTGGCTAAAAGTAAAGGAGTGGCTTTAGAAGAATTTCATGTTATTTACAAACTTGTGGATAGATTAAAGGTTTAAATTTTAATTTTTTTATTAGACTCTAAAAAATTCTGTGAAAGTGTAAATGAATTTTGACCCCCTTTAAAAAGGGTTAGGGAAATTTGCGTACGATAATTGCGGATATAAATTCTTTAAAAAAATTTTTCCAAAAAATTTTTGAAGTTGTCTGTTTTGTTTAGTGCCATCTGATGACGGCTTTTTTGAACCCTTTTAATATTTTTTAAATTATTTTTTGGATTGATACGGACTGAAAGTTTGAGGAAATTTTTTTTAAATTTTATATCCGCAATTTTTTGTCTGAAATTGTCTTATCCCCCCTAATTTGAAAATTTTAATAAAAATTTAAAAAAAAATTTTTTTCTTATAGGAATTATTGACACAAAAAATTACTCCAATAATAGAACGTCGTTTAGTTGGCAGTGGAACTGTTATACGTGCTTATAAACTTAAAGATGGACAAAAAAAGAAGCAACCTGTGGCTGGAATAAAAGTTGATTGGGGAAAAATGGATAGGTTTGGAAATTTTGTAAAAAAAATTTTCTAAATGAAATTTTTAAAGAAAATTTATCTGGCGTTTTGTAAGAAGTGGAAATGCAACGTCTGAAGAAGGTTTGTGTTGCGATTTTTTTATTAACGCTAAAATTGTCCAAAATTGAGTAGAGATGTATTAACTAAAAAAGTTTTATCTTTAGCTAAAAATAAAAAAATTTTTAACCCAAAAATGACGGAATATCTCACAAAAATTTTAAAAATTAATTCCAAAAAAATATTATTTGAAGTATTAATGTTGATTTGGGTATTTTTTGGCTTTGCTTCCGACTTTTTACTAATCCTGGGCCGTCTTTGAGGGTTTTAAAATTCTTGAAGCCCGTGGCTTTTGGAGCATTCCTTTTCGGCTCTTGGTGCAAATCGATAAATAATACTTCAAATTTTAGGAAAAATTTCGGAAAACGAACAGAGCGCAAATGGGTCAAATTATATGTCATTCGAAAGAGCTCGTCGAGTTGAGTCGAATGGTGAAAAAATTTTCGTGCGGACTCATAGAGGGGCTGAGATATAGGCTCCCGAAAATCGAAAAACCATAGGGGGGACCAAGCACTTTTTTGGGGTGAAAAATTCGAAAATGCAAATTATACCTCATTCGAAAGAGCTCATCGAGCTGAGTCGAATGACACCAAAATCAACTCGAAATCTTGATTCTGAGCCGAGATAGAGGCTCAAAATGGTCAACGTAAACCTATGGGGCGTAGGCGAGGCGCTTGTGCAAAACCCCGCGCTTCGCGCGGGGTTTTGCGGCACGCGCCTCGCGGGGAGTCTACGGGCGATGGGTTCTGGGCTCGTAACTTAATCCTATTCCAATTATCGCTGTAATGGGTTATCTGGCTTCCTCTGTAGCAGGAAAAACCTCGACGGATACCAAAGGTAAGGAGCTAAAACAAACGATCATAACTTTGTCAAATCAAGTCAGATTTCGTTGATTTTGGTGTCATTCGACTCAGCTCGATGAGCTCTTTCGAATGAGCTATAATTTGCATATTCGAATTTTTTACCCCAAAAAAGTGCTTGGTCCCCCCTATGGTTTTTCGATTTTCAGGGGCCTATATCTCAGCCCCTGTATGAGTCCGCACGAAAATTTTTTCATCATTCGACTCAACTCGACGAGCCCTTTCGAATGACATATAATTTGTCCTATTTCGGATCTGTTCGTTTTCCGAAATTATACCAAATTTTATTTTTTTGGAATTAATTTTTTAAATTTTTGTGGGATATTCAGTCATTTTTGGGTTAAAAAAATTTTTTTTCGATTTTTGCTAATCATTGTTGTCTTAAATATAAATTTAAATTATTATTTTAATTCTCCAATAATTTTATTAATATTTTAGAGAACATAACATTATATGAAGGCAATATAAATTCAATGGAATGTGAAGGACAAGCAATAAATCAAGCAACTACAGATATGCAAATTGGTAAAAAAATAAAAAAAATTTTTGAGTGTTTTGATAATTCTGCGAAAAATTCCATCGAAAAAAATGCCTGAAAAATTTTTTTAATTTGTGGGAATTTTTACCAAAAAATTTTTAATAACTTTTGAAAAAAAATTTCTGAATTTCAAATAAAAATTTTTTTTCTTGAAAATTTTTTTAATCAATTACAAGGAGTCGCAATAGCTGACAAAAATGTATCTTACAAAGAAGATGATCGAGTAGAAGTATTTGAAGAAGTTCATGTCCCACAACAAATAAATTGGAACCCTCCGGGGTTTTGAAAGAAAATGTCTCAATGTTTTGTAAAGTTTGAAATTTTTTTTGAATTTTTCTTTTGTTATTTGTTTTGTGTTAACGTTATTTTTCGGCAAATGGGGTGGGCTCGAGAGAAAGAGAAGGGGGTTGGCGTTTTGTTAGGACTCTCGTTAATGTACTGTACCTCCAAAATTAGGAGAGTATTTTTTGAAATATTTCTGGAAAAAAATTTTTTGGCAAAATGTTAAGTGAGAAATGAAAGGGTGTAGGATTTGCTATAACTATACAGCACAAATTTACAAAAATTTTAAAAATATTTAAAACATTTTTTAACCGGGTCAAAATTAAACAGAGGTCAATTTTCTTCAGATCACCATCGAATGTAATTTGACCGGTAGCAACCAGATCTGGTAAAAAATGATTTAACTAATTAAATGAAACTTTTATTTTTTTCATCCCCTACCCCTATTTTACCCACAAAATATAAAATCTTTTAAGAATTTTTACTCACCTTCAGGTGGTTTTTGTCCCAAAATAATGGAAAGGAGTGCAATGGTGAAGGAGTCTCCGCAGCTGGGACCAGTTAATTGCTCATACTGAAATTTAAGGAAAAATATTTTTTATTAAAAATATTTAAAAAACCGTGTCAATATCGAAGGCCGCATTTTTTAAGGCAACATCAATCTTTCTTCGAAGACACAACGAAGAGACGTAGACCTTCAGTTGTTGTAACGTATTTCAGTATTAAATCCTCACTGTGCACGAGGGAGTTTTCAAGCCGAAATAAACTCAGACCAGCAGAAACAATGTAAATTCCTCCACTGAATACTTTTTCATTTACAACCGTCTCTTTCCCTTCAACCATTACTGTCCGAGTAACGATATGTTCTTAAAAAACGTTTTTAAACGGTAAAAAATATTTTTAATTTTCGTTTAGATTTAGCTAGACTTCCTTAATATTTATTGTTTATGCCAACAAATTTTCATCATTCCAAATCTCCCCCTATGGGTTCGGACCCTTTCTAGGCAATTTTGAGTTTAAGTAAAAGGTTCCCCGTTGAATTTTTTGTCGCAATAGAATTATTGACTTTAACTCCTTTCCAATTATTTGTGGACACAAATAAATTGAAGTACAAACTCAGGCAGCCTTTAATTTGGGCAAGACAACTATTATTTTGCCTGAGGCTATGAGGTCAGAATTTGATAAACTTAGTGAAGAGGAACGATGTACATCTAAATATGCAATAAATATTAAAGACGAAAATTAAATTAAAAATATACGAAAATTAAAAATATTTTTTACCGTTTAAAAACGTTTTTTAAGAACATATCGTTACTCGGACAGTAATGGTTGAAGGGAAAGAGACGGTTGTAAATGAAAAAGTATTCAGTGGAGGAATTTACATTGTTTCTGCTGGTCTGAGTTTATTTCGGCTTGAAAACTCCCTCGTGCACAGTGAGGATTTAATACTGAAATACGTTACAACAACTGAAGGTCTACGTCTCTTCGTTGTGTCTTCGAAGAAAGATTGATGTTGCCTTAAAAATGCGGCCTTCGATATTGACACGGTTTTTTAAATATTTTTAATAAAAAATATTTTTCCTTAAATTTCAGTATGAGCAATTAACTGGTCCCAGCTGCGGAGACTCCTTCACCATTGCACTCCTTTCCATTATTTCGGGACAAAAACCACCTGAAGGTGAGTAAAAATTCTTAAAAGATTTTATATTTTGTGGGTAAAATAGGGGTAGGGGATTAAAAAAATAAAAGTTTCATTTAATTAGTTAAATTATTTTTTACCAGATCTGGTTGCTACCGGTCAAATTACATTCGATGGTGATCTGAAGAAAATTGGGGGGATTAAATTTAAATTAATAGAGGCTAATGCAATTGGACGGAAAAGTATTATTTTAACCGAGGAAAATAAAGATTATTTTGATACTATTTTTTTCTCATAAAATAATTAATTTTTTTATAAATCCAAAAATTTTTTATCGTATATAATTTGTTTTTATAGAAGTTATTTTTCTGAAATTTTAGATTTTAGCCCCTTCCTCCTCCTACAGTCTAAGCCGAGACAATTAAACTTTTATTGGCCTACTAAACTAGACCAGAGTTAATAAAACCTTATATGGGAAAAATTTTCTTAAGTTCCATTTATGGTGAGAGAATTTCTGGTTTAAAATTTTAAATAATTTTTGTGTTGTCATTTTTAGAATTTTTTTAAAGAGAGTCCTAACAAAAACATTTGCCGAAGAATAAATTAAAGTTGTTTTTATTATTTAATTTAAAGATTTTTTACAATTAAAAAATTTTTTTCAAAATTCACACATCTGGTGGGGTGTCATTTGTATGTGTGATTTTAGCATGTATTCTTTAGAAAAAGCCACCAATTGGTATTAAATTGAATTTTTTGTGGTTTTTTATATTTATTTTTGAGGTAGAATAGGGTAAAGGGTATATGTAGGGTAAAGGGTAGAATAGGGTAGGGGTATATATAAAAGTTTCATTTTATTGTATTTAAATAATTTTTTTTATTATCCCATAACATTGTTACCATTTTTTTTTCGTTGTGGTCTTTAATATTAAAAAAACTAAACTATCAATTTCGAACTAAATGATGAAAACTCTTCTAGTTCAAAAAACTTATATCTCATTTATTTTCACAAAAAATTGACTGCACAATGAAGAAACTAGACTTTGATTGAATCCGAAGTTAACCAAAAATGGTTTAAAATATTTTTTCAAATATTAAAAGAATACCGGGTCTAATTCAAAATTTGGAGTCATATCAGGAAAAGCAATTCCCCTCTTTCTACAAAAAGCTTGACAATAAATCACAGCTTTATCACACGAATTCAAACAGACTCATCAGGTTTAGGATGAAATAATGAATTTGTTGAACATTCAGACTATCCAAAGTTTACTGTGTAAACTTCTCCAGAAACAACTGGTTCAAAAACAAGTTTTAAATTGCCATCATTGTCCGGTTCCTCTTTCAACGTAAAACCACAAAAAATTCAATCCCTTAAATTAAAAATTTATATCGCTAGAGAATTATTCATTAAAAATTTTCCCTTTAATTACGATATAAATTTTTAATTTAAGGGATTGAATTTTTTGTGGTTTTACGTTGAAAGAGGAACCGGACAATGATGGCAATTTAAAACTTGTTTTTGAACCAGTTGTTTCTGGAGAAGTTTACACAGTAAACTTTGGATGGTCTGAATGTTCAACAAATTCATTATTTCATCCTAAACCTGATGAGTCTGTTTGAATTCGTGTGATAAAGCTGTGATTTATTGTCAAGCTTTTTGTAGAAAGAGGGGAATTGCTTTTCCTGATATGACTCCAAATTTTGAATTAGACCCGGTATTCTTTTAATATTTGAAAAAATATTTTAAACCATTTT